GGAAGTCGGAAGTGATGTCATGCTGGACAAGAATCAGAGTCCGAATAACATTTTTTCATATTCGGACTCGAGTCCGAATAATCACTTCGATTTCTATTCTCACCCCAGATGAGAACAGCCCCCCCTGAATTTTACCATAATTTGATGCTTTGCAGTTAGGTTGCATTCCTGTTCTTTGTGTTGCCTATTTGGTCATCAGACTTCTGGATTTCTTCTCTGGATGTAAACAAATGGATCATGGACTTTAACTTTAACAAACGGAACTACAAGATCACCAGTGACCAAACATTGTTCTACTGACGACAGTAAAAATACTGCAATTTGGCTTCCAAGGCAGTGCATCTGTGTGCAAGAGTGAAAGTAAAAATTTACCATAAACAGTAACAAACTTAAATCTAAGTCTAAAAATTAAAGTGAAAATGAAAGACAAGACAACCAATTCGTTCAACCACAGCGTGTGTGAGGCGACTAGCACTTGCGCTTGCAGCGAGTGTCAGCCAGACGTCGACGGACAGTCTAGATCTAGATCTAGTCTAGATCCGAGACAAAAGTCCTCCACACCGACATTTATTTAACGGAATGCATTCCTTTTTTTAAAAAATCAGAAAAGAGCATGTACATTTACCTTGAAAATTTACTGCCAAATACGTATATTTATTATTGAGGAATCCGCTTTGTTTACACCATCATCGATAATTTACGATTTTCAAACCGGAAGTTGCCTGTGAGGCTGTGAGAAGAGAGGGCTGCCGTTTCTGCCAGATAGGCCTTGGCCTAGATCTATACCTTGGAATAACTATATTATTATCTATACCTTCCAAGGAGATTAAAAGTAACTGGGCGTCTCGGCCTTGGCTCTAAAAAAACGTGATCTTTATAGTAGTCCTGGCCTAGATCTAGATTTACATCTCAGACCTGATTTAATTTTATTAACTCACCGGTAGGCCTTATTAGCCTACTGTAGGCCTATGCACCTATCCCCCCCCCCCACACACACAAAATAACAACACTTGATCCTTCTCGCTTGGCCTACTCCATGCGACCTGTTCTAGGCCTTCTCAGAACTGAGGAGGCCAAGGCTAGGACCTGCCCAATGCTAAACTTCCAGTACTTTTAAGACACTCCTTGATCTCAGTTAACATCGGACGCCCTTTTACTTTTTATAGGGCTGGTAAACGTGTGAATACAATTATATGTACTGTATTGTTTTCTCCCTACTCTAATAATAAACGTTGGGGGGGGGGGGGGGGGGGGGGGGGGCGCTTATTTGATACCTTAAGTAAGAGGGGGGAAAATACGAGAGAAGTGTTTGTGCTAGGCCTAGCATGTGCTCTAGAAAAAAAAACAACGCGATTGATGGAAGTGTAATATCGAGTTTTAGTGTGCCGCCGCGGAATATTTATTACCTTCATTCTTTTATTTCTGACTGCATAACATTTGCTGTTTTTTTGTTGTTGTTTTGGTTGTTTGTTGGGGGGGGGGGGTATTTTAACCACTATTAATTATTACCAGGGTTGTGTAGATGCGCTTCTCTTAACTCAAACTAAGAGATACTCTTGGATTAACTTTTTTTTTTCTTTAGCGTTGGAGTCTAGATCTAATCGCTTGCATGCAGAGCAGTGTAGATTCGAGTATATTGGCTCATGCTTGCTATGGATACGTCGATGTGTGCATGGTAGCGGCCGGAGCGTTTCGAATCAGGGCAGGGGACGAGAATCAGAAAATAATATGAATAGCGCCATCGAAGTGTATAATTCAAATTCACACCCGGCCATAATTCGTGCTTCTGAACTGTAATATCAATTTGGTTGTTGAACGCCCCCCCCCCCCCCCCCCTTTCCAACCTTCTTTCTATTCACCTGCCTAGTATATGCAACTAGATACGAGTGCATGCAGGTTTGGTTATTATTGAATAAATTATACTTTTGCACCATGACAAAATATAGGCCTCCAGCAGCTTGCATATAGACCTACGTTTTTAAATACACTAGCGGATCATAGAGTTTATTATTATGAATTAATCTTTTTTCGAAATGATAATTAATGATTCACAAAATGGCATTAGGTCATGTTTGATAATTAAATTACATGCATGATTGCATTATTCACCCTTCACTCGTTGAATGCGTTGAAATGCACCAAGTTCAACTCAAGGAGTATTTTATGGGATCCATTTTTATGATTATTAACACTATAATGTAAAACGCAACCGACCTATTATGACGGTTGTTACACTATTAACACTGAAATAGCTTAATTTGTCAGGATATTATGCCTGGTGAGTATCTTTCATCCATGAACAGACCTCAGTTATAAGCACTGTTGTACCAACGATGACGAGAACAATAATTTGTAGAATGATATTTTGATATATAATCTATGGAAGGCGAAGAAATATATATATATATATATATATATATATATATATATATATATATATATATATATATATATATATATATATATATGATACACACACACACACACACACACACACACACACACACACACACACACACACACACACACACACACACACACACACACAAGTACAATTAAAAATGTACTGGTACGCGGGTTTGAAGGAGAGTAGCTCCAATACAGTGTAATTTCTCTTAAAAGCTTACGTAAGGGCGACGTGCTAATAATGTCTTTTAACATCAAAAAGTGATTGCACCTGAATTTCAGAAAATTGTCTTTATAACTTATAACTGTCAAAAATTAGTCAAGCCAGGGAGATCTAAAATCGTTGGATCAGACATTTAAAAAAAAAAAGGACAGCTAGCTAAAATAATAATGTTAGAATAATAAACTTATACCAAAGATTCTCTATTCACGATCTTTGTTTACTGCAAGCGACTGTGGTGTGGAATTAAAGCCCATATATATATAAACTGATCGTTCATGCGTATCGGAAGATCAGTCGTAAATCATTCGATCCGCCCTAGGCCCGCCGGGCCAAGCTCACCGGCCAGATATGAATTATGATGCGCCGTGGTCTAGACGGTCAGAGAACGTATAGGCCGTGGTTAACTCGTTCACTGCCTTGTTAAACACGATGTATGCTCCTTCTCTGGCAGTAAGTGGTTAAAGTCGTGCTCTCGCGGATAACAGCATGCCTTGTACGGTGGCGACTTCTTTGATCGCCTTTTTTAACATACTGGCTTCTACTAGGCTAGCGCAATCATTGTGCCACGCGATTTCCACTATCCTTGCTCTCACTTTTCGTCCACTCTCCTTAACAGCAGTGTCCATAAACAACAATAATTGAAGATTCTTTGTTTCTGAGTCTGCAATTTAAACGGTGTCATCAGTTAGGCCTCTTCGAGCCCATCTGACGTAATTGGTATTTTTTCCATTCACTTTGAGACCTGAGTTTTCTTCTATATTTAGTTTATCTTTTTAAACAGTTGTTTTCCGTAGGTTTATATCATTAGTGGCAAGCTGTCACAGGTTCTAAGCCTAGAAAGCAAACTTGAATTATTAATTTTTTTTTCTTATTAAAATGATAGGCTTACTTGGATTACTCGGATTACTTGGACCCAGAGCTAGAATCATAGCAGGCAGCACATGTCCACAGCTGCTCATTTCTCCTTTCCAGCGTCCACCCCAGGGTTTTCCTGCTATTATTAATTGTCTCCATGAGGAGCTGGTTTCAGACACAAGACACACCTGATCACTCCTCGGAGCAAACTTTTCCCCCCTGTGCCCCATGCTTTTTTTGGGAGTCTATCTCCTCTTGGTCGCGAAGGCTTTCCTTGCATCTGGCGATCATCATTGGTGGGTGAGCTTGATTGGGCTATTGGGTGCTGCTTTGCCGGCAGGTTCATCAGGAAGTTGATAGGCTTATTATGAATAACGTCGACTTACCTACATATGAGTATAACGGAGGCCTTATTTCTCTTTTTTAAAATACGGTATGTACAATTGAATCCCGTCAAAATATTAATTGAACACATAATAATATATATGCAACCGATAACACGTTATTAAAAAAAAAACTGCAATTAAAAAACAGACAAAACTTTTGGATTTCGTCTGATATAGCTTGTATCTAGCCGACGATAATTTCAACGAGTCCGAGAACATACCAGCACCTTAGCTTACTCCACTTTTAATCATAATATAGCGTATTCACAATTTAACTCTTCGTGAATTCTAATAATAATAATAATAATAATAATAATAATAATAATAATAATAATAATAATAATAATAAATAATAAATTACACTTTTATTTGTCCCAGAAGGGCACTTTGTTTTACAATGGCAAACATACATACATAAATACATAATTATAAATACGTACATACATAAATACATACATGCATAAATACATACATAAATACACACTATTACACAAATACAGAACAGTTTACAAACAATGCCACTGTCGGTCGCCACTGTGCAGCGCCCTATTTGATCTGCAAGATGACGACCGGCGTCACTTTAACGGAGGAAAGGGACTGGAAAGGGGGGGGGGGGGGGGAGGGCGAATTGTATTCGGGTCCTGATACAGACCAGGATGGAGAGCAGCTATCGCAGAGGGCAGCAAATAATACATTATGAGGCTTCTCGAATTAGAAATGATGCTGTACACCAAAGCTGTGCACATCCACAATAATAAGTTAAATGGAAAAGACCAAACCTATGGCAAACTCTTGCCGGAATTTAATAATAAATTGGTTACTGGCCAAATCAGAAGTCACAAAGTCATCTCAATCCTTATTAATTTTAAAAGGCTTATGAGCAACAAATAATAATAATATATTCTCCCGCGCAGATCTGCTGATGCATTAGGGAATAGACTAAGTCAGACCAGAGAGTTTACAGTAATACTATTACTGTAAACTCTCTCTGTTCAGACACTGACGAACGAACTGTTTATTATTATCATAAATTTAGAGGCCAACCTCGAGGCACTCACCAAATCAACAGATGCTCACCAGCGCGTGCGCGCGCACACACACACACACACACACACACACACACACACACACACACACACACACACACACACATCTAATATACCCCATAGATTCTCTGCATGCACAACATGTAACATACGCAAAGACGGTAGGCTAGACTTAGAGAATCTTTGACATACGAAGGCTCTAAAAATAGAGTGGGATTTTTTCGACACAAATAAATCGGTTGGCCATTGGACACTATTTTTAGCAATTTCTCAGTTGCTTGTTTATAGTCTGCAACTTGCCAACGCTGACCAGTGCAGACATTTAAAGATACTGTAGGACTGTCGTCGAACTTGTGAGCTTTAACACTGTTATTAAAACGATAAGGTGTGTGTACTGCAGGACCAGACCAAACCACTTATACGCGGACAACGAGGTAAGAATACTATTATCGTTTTTCTTTTCGTTTTGAGCGCGCAGACTAACAGTAACAGACTGTCGCACTGCATGCATTCTGGCACCGGGATCTGTATTCTTTTACAACTGTGAGGGTTTGATTTGATACAAGAACAATTAATTGGTCAGTCTTGTTATGTAAGTGAGTTTACGATTTATTATTAAACGTCTAAAAAAGCTTATTTTCTGTTCTTCAAACTATTTCTTGCTTATACTGAGTAGCTGTAGTCTTGTTCTCCCTCGGCTGGTCCAAGAAATGGAAAATTATTTTTTAAATGTAATTGTTCACTCTTGCTGTGCCCTCCACCAATGTACCTTTGTCTATTAACGCCATAAGCAACCAGGTGTCGGGGAAAACATGTGTTGTAAGCGTGTGTGTGTGTGTGTGTGTGTGTGTGTGTGTGTGTGTGTGTGTGTGTGTG